GTTGATGACGGCAGTGGCGAGCTCATAATGCTCGCGGTCGCACATGTAGGTGTGCGAGAAGGTGCCACCCATAGTGATGACGCCATTCGGTCCTGACATCTTTAGCTTGAGGTAGGTGTAGTTAGGGATCACCATGAACTTGGTGTAGCATGGCCGCCCCAAGATGGCGTGGTAGGACCCTGGAAAGTCCACCGCCTCGAAGGTTATGACCTCCAAGCGGAAGTTGGCGCGGTCGCCAAACGTGACGGGCAGGTCGATATGCCCGAGTGGATATGCCAGCGTCTCTAGGATCACACCATGGAAAGGAGAGCTCACAGGGCGGAGCTCCGACCGAGGGATGCACATGGCATCGAAGGTGTCGACGTAGCGAATGTTGAGGCTGCTGCCTTCATCCATCAGCACCTTGGTGAGGAGCTTTTTGTGGATGATGGGGTCGATGATGAGTGGGTAGCGTCCTGGTCGGGCGACATGGGAAGGATGGTCTCTCTAATCAAAAGTGACCGGGGAGTCCGACCAGCTAAGGAAAGAGGGGATGGCTGACTTGGTGGCGCATGCCTCTCGGTAGTGTACCTTGTGCTGGCGCTTGGAGTGGACGGCGTCGGATCCCCCAAAGATCATGAGGCATTCCTCGGGGTCAGGGAAGCCGTCTTCATCCTTGTCCGTCGTGCCTCCCTTCTTGGCTGCGTCCTCCTTGCCTTCCCCTCCTTTGGCTTGGCAGCTTGCCGCAGGAAGTGCTTGAGGAGCTCGTAGTCCTTGTAGAGGTGTTTGACTAGATAGGCGTGGTTGGTGCACGGACTCTCCATGAGCTTGTCGAAGTGGTCAGGCTGGCACGACTGGGGTTGCTTGCCCGTGCGGTCGGCCACGGCGACCAAAGCTGAGTTGCCCAGTCGGCGGCGATCCTTCCTGTTCTTCTTGCCCTATTGTGTGGAGGGGCCCTCGCCTTGATCCTCGCGCTTGGCCTTGCCTTTGTCCTGACCGCCGCTGAAGACCGCCCCGACCGCCTCCTCGTCGAAGGCGTGGTTTGTGGCGATATCGAGCAGGTCGCGGGTGGTACAGGGCTTCACACAGCCGAGCTTGTGGATCAGGGACTTGCAGGTTGTCCTAGAGAGGAACGCGCTGACAACGTCCGTGTCGACGACATCAGGAAGGGAGTTGCACTATTTTGAGAACCTCTGGATGTAATCCCATAGGGACTCGTTGGGCTCCTACAGGCAACTCTTGAGGTCCCAGGAATTCCTAGGACGGACATACATCCCCTGGAAATTCCCAATGAAGACCTTCTTGAGGTCCACCCAGTAGCGAATGCTGTCAGTCAGAAGGAATTCGAGCCATGCTCGAACATGCTCTCCCACAAAGATGGGGAGGTACTGGATGATGAAGAAGTCATCCTCCACTCCTTTAGCTTGGCAAGTGAGTTAGAAGTCTTCGATCGATATACCAGGGTTCGTCTCCCCAGTGTATTTGGCAATGTTGGTGGTTGGTCAGAAACATTGTGGGAACGGCGCTTTCTGGATGCAGCGACCGAAGGCCCGTGGCCCTAGGCCGTCCGGGCTAGGGCTCCGGTCGTTCGATCAGCCACCATGCCTAGGATGTATGTCCTTGTACTCCTCGGTGAATAGGCCAGGGCCCATGCCGTCCGCTCTTGCCGCCATTCGATGGACGTCATCGTCATGCCGGATATGGCGTCGATTATCGATGACGCTGCGAGCGTCACGGTTCAGCCTGAGCCACTCGCGCACAGGCAGTCGGTGCGGAGCAGGCGCTGGGTCGAGCTGTGGCGTAGCCATGGCCTCCTGCTCCACGCCTAGCAACTGCTACAGTGAGTGGACGGAGCGATTCGACAGGTGCGGCCCCAGTGTCCCGATTGGGACAGAGGCCGCGTGCCGGTGTCGGGATGCGGAGCTTTCTGCTAGCTGGACGGTGACGGTCTCCACCTATGCCTGAAGGTTTCGGTGGATCACCTGCTCCTGGGGTCGGCAGGCTCGGGAAGGCCACGCAGAAGCATTATCGCGGCAGCGATGTTCTGGCCAACCCGAGCCAACTACGGGGGATCGTCCCTTTCGTCCAGGATGTTATGCTAGACTTGGCGGGCACGTCCCCGAGCGCCACTCGCTGGGTTACGTGCTTGTGGACCGGCGTGCTGCGCTGGGCGTGCCGGCGCAGGTGGTGGCCGGTCTTGTCGCCGCAATCGTAATTCTTCGTCGTGCTCGTGTGCACATGCCAGGGCCTGCGCATGAGGATCCGGAGGGGTGTGGGTCTGTATAGACTCCACCCGCCACCGGTAGCTGTCCTGGGGCGTCCGCCATAGCGCACTCCCGGGACAGGGGGTGACCAGGTGCTGTGACGTCGCCGATGCTAGAGCCGTCGCTTTTGACCTCATCATCGATGAGGTCGTGGAAGGAGGCGGGGGCATAGCCCGCCATCCCCACTAACTCAGACGTGAGAGGGGGCGACGTCAGCATCCTCTAGAATCCCCATGCGTACGCGTCTGCGGGGGACGCGAAGCCATAGGGGAACCGGCCGTATGGCAATCGTGGAGGGGACAACAGGGTCCCTCCAGAGAGCTGGCGGAAGGTGCTAAACAGTGAGTAAAGAACAATATGTATGTACATCACTCACCATGGGGTTTGAGTCCGATGTGGACGCGAGGTGGAGCGCGGGTGTCTTGCTGACGAGGGCGCCGAGCGACTCGGGGCCCATGTAGGGCGCTCCTCCTCTTGGGGACGCCAAGACTAATGCTTCCTTGCGGAGGCGAAGTGCGCCGAGCTGGTCAGCGATGAAGTCTAGACTGCCGAAGTGGAAGGTCTGGAACGGTGTGAAGACGGGAGGAACCCACATCCGGGTGAATGAGGGCGAGGGAAACTCTAGCGAGCCAAAGCGAATCGTGTCGCCCGAACTCGTCATGCTAGAGATGGCAGAAAGAAGGGCCATCCGATGACAAAAAGTGTGAACGCACTGCGTCTTCCCCACGGACGACGCAAACTGTCGGTGTGAAATGTGGCCGACAAGTAAATATTTGTAGTTTTGCCGTGCATTGAGATCGGATGTGGCCTTGCACTCAATGACACAGGATTTATACTGGTTCAGGCAACGTGCCCTACATCCAGTTTGAGTCGGTCGATGACTTTATTCCTGAGCCCAGGTGCTCGAAGTTTGCAGTGGGGGTACAAACGAGTGAGGAATGAGTAGGGGGTGTAAGAGAACCGGTCGGACTCTGAACCGAGTGGAAGAGAGTGTTCGGTGCTCAAACGTGCGCTAAGTGTTTGAGAGCGTGTGGACCCTTCGAGAGTTGAGGGTCGTAGTACTGTCGAGTCTATGTGGTAGCTGTGACTTGTTGTGTTCGTTGCCCCTGTCATTTTAAGGAGAGAGCGCATCCCCTTTTATAGTTTTGAAGGGGATGGTCTTGCAAGAGGAAGAGAGTGAATACTGGTGCTGCCTAGTCTTGTTGCTCACGCCTTCGGGTACGGGATGGCCGTCGCCCGCCTTACTGTTTATGCCGCCATCGCCCACCATCTTTGCTCGAGCTCTGCTTTTTTTCGACACCTTCGCACGATGTACGCGCTTTGTACGGCGGATGATGGCGCCTACAATATCTTGTTCCAAGTCGGTATCGCATGATGGTGTCGCTGGCACATTACATGGCGGCGCTCACAATACTGTTGAAAGTCGGTATCGCACAGTGTACGCTTGATACCACAGAACGGCACCGCCCAGTACGCGCAGAGGACGTGGCAGGGTACGGACCTCGGTATTACGGTTAACCTCCGTCCCTTCGGGATCAGGCGAGACGGAGACTGCGCCCTCGAGGTCGGGCGAGGCTCGCGTTTCCCTTATCTGCTCTGCCTGTCCCTCGGGCCCACACCGACCGGGCATCCTCAGTCGGTCGTTCCCAGTCGGTACCGGCCGTTTCGGTCGGGAAGGAGTGGCGTGAGTAGATCTGGCGTATTCCCAGTCGGGGAACTTAGTCGGAGTCGGACCTCACTCCCGGACAGCCTTTCTGGTCAGAGTGCCAACCAGGCTTCTTGCCGAGGGTATCGGTTAGTGGCCGGATCATGGTCTCGGCCTGTTGTCACGTCTCTGGGCCAGCCCAGATGCGTGTTGTTGCTGTGTTGCCTGCTGGGCTGAGTTTGTGGAGAAGCAGTCTTGTTAGAGACTCCGGGTTTATAAATCCGACAGTCGGTTTTGCTTATTCTTTTTTTTGAGGGGTTATTATGGAAATATTGATTAAAAAGGATTAAAAATAAAAAAATTCGTCCCCATACCTCTTTTTACTCATGGCCGATGTGTTGCAGCAGATGATCAAGCAAGATGGGGGTTTTGGTCACACCGCTACGGATGGCAGATGTTCAGTGCTTCAATACGCAGACGTCACGCTGCTGCTTGTTCGCGCTGAAGTCATGGATACCAGGCAGCTAAAGAAAATACTTGCGCGGATGGAGAGGGAGTGATACCTTGCGCGGTTGCGTGGGAGCTTCAACGAGGACTAGTGGGGAGTGCCGACTCATCGATACCTCGAAAAAACATCGCCGTATTCCTATTTCTATCTCTACTTTGAGCATTTACATTTTAGCAATTACATTAATGTTTTTATATTTGTAGAATTTTCATGTTAGAGTAGGATTCGAATCTAGGTGCAAAACTTTTATGCGGTAGAATAGAAATTACTATTAGACACGATGGGTACAGTGGGCTAAGCAGTATGATTGCAAGAAAATTTAGATTAGCGTAATTTAACCCTCTTTTGAACATCTTGATCCTTTCAAGAATGATGTCTACAAGGAATCAATTGATCAAGGATGAGTGTTAAGATTAATTAATTAGTCATCAATTAGATTAATCATGTCGTCAGAATTTAGAAACTGCTAATGGTGGTTCCTGTAGACATCCAGAGAGACGTCAGTGACTTGAGTCACTGGCAAAACAACTGTCCATTCTGGGCATGTATAGATACATTTTCACGGTTCATCGATACAACCATCCGTCATTTTCATCCATCCATTTCACACAGTTATCAACAGAGCCTTCACGGGTGTAACGGCTGCAACCTCCCCATTATCTAAAAGAACATACAAAACATACCAAAAAAATATACAATACATAATCCAGTTTGTTTAATTGGACTCGAATAACGAGCGTCAACGATCGGGTCTATATTACCTAGATTCGAACGGCAGCAGCATTATGATCAAATTCAGCGCCATTCCAACAAGTGCAGTGAGAACGATGTACGTACGTCCAGCGAGCTGAGACGCGACGCTGAATGTCAAGACCGCAATAGCCGAACAAGACACCAGCCTGATCGCCAGCCCACGACGAGCCACCGATCTGGACAGGATCCCGGCGAACAAACCCACGGTGATGAACGCCAGGCCACCAAAAATTGTGAACTTGACGTGATCAGGAGTGTCCTTTAACAGAGGGTACGCCGTCACGCACGCTGGTAGGGATGCGGCATAAGCTTGCACCATAGCACCTTCGAGCATTTTGAAAACCACCTGTAATTAATTAAGGAAAAGGATCGGAGGCAGTTTTTTTAGGCACGAAAAGAGAATTTGTTTCTTTAGTAGCCTGGAGATGCTCTTACAATGATGCTTGAGTTCAGTTGGCTCCCATATTCACTGGCCAGCTACAAAATAAATTATTCTGTAGCTACCTCTATTTACGATAAATTTATATATTAATTTATGATAATGTTAATACATATTTACGATAGTTGTGTTACTATAACACATGTAGATATTTATCATAACGTTATAGTAAACCACTTAACAAGAAGTTACTATAATATCGTAAATTAACATAGTAATTATCGTAACTCAAAGTGGCTACAGAATAAGTTATTTTGTAGCTAGCTACATGGTAGTAGTTCTATATATATATGTGTGTGTGGAGAGTATATTCAGTAGCCAGCTACAAAAATAAGTTATTCCGTAACCACCTCCATTTACGATAATTTTATATACTAATTTACCATAATATCAATACATATTTACGATAGCTAGGATAACACATGAAGATATTTACCATAATATTATAGTAAACCACTTAGCAAGGAGTTACTATAATCTCTTAAATTACTATAGTAATTATCGTAACTCAAAGTGCTACAGAAAAAGTTATTTTGTAGCCAGCTATAGGGTAGTAGTTATATATATATATATATATATATATATATATATATATATATATATATATATATATATATATATATATATATATATATATATATATATATAGTTGAGCCAAATTAAAGGATATATAAAGGCGACGCAAGTGGGAGCAAGAATTTGTTACCGATGGTTCTTGAACTGGAGCGGCGGCACCACCGCCTGTGCGCCGGGCGCCAACTCCTTGTTCTCCTGCCTCCAAGTCGGCCATGAATAATTCGAGACGCCGTTGTGCCTGCAAGTCATAGTTTCCTGATGATCTACTCCTAGTCAAGAAATGCGGCGGCGCCGCGGCTGCAACCTCCTGGTTGATGTTAAGAACGCTGCGGCCAATCGGGGAAAGCTCATGAACGGCTGCTTCGGAAGGGTGGTTGTCCATTCCTGAGACGAGGGCCTGCATTTGATGACCAATCAGCTTAGTTAGTTGTCGTCAGTTACAAATTAAATCATGTGGGCAAATTATGTTTGAAAGTTTGAAACACGATTATTTCCTGTACTATCGGTCGCTCCTGTAGTTAATCTGACAAACTCAAAAAAAAAAAACACACACACATCGTGCACCATCTAGTCAGAGAGACACCATCTGGCACGGGACGAACTGATTCTGATCTGAACCAAAAGAATCTGAATTTCCAAAGCAACAGGCTCGACAAGGAGACCCGATTCAGAAGAAAAAACACACGACACGAGACTGAATTATTCACCTATTCACCATGTTCGCTTGTTGGTTTCAGCCAGCCAGCCAACAGTATTTTTCTCTCACAATAAACTAGCACCAGTCAGCTCAAACCAGCCCAGAAACCAACCAGCAAACAGACCGATTGATTAGATAAGATATGCACCAGCCACTGAGCCATAGATAGACCCCCAATCACTAATACAGAAGCAACAGTACCAATCCGAGCAACTAATTCACCCACTGTCGACGAAATGCCGTCGACAGTCCACCAAGGGATATACCCATGATGGTAGATTGATTGGTAGAGGTGCACGTGATCAGGAACTACCGTCGACAGTCCACCGAGGGGTATACCAACGATGGTAGATTGATTGGTAGAGGTGCACGTGATCAGGAACCGGATGGTGATACCAGCACCGAGACACAAGATTTAGACAGATTCAGGCCGTCAATACGACGTAATACCTTAAATCATGTGTTCCGATGGATCGTATTGATTTTGGCTAAGCCTAGGATTTGTATCAGGGTGCTGACTAGGGGACTCCTACCCCTCCTTATATACTGTGAAGGAGTAGGGATACAAGAAAAGTATCATAATCGGCTATATGGTAGATATCCTATTTAGATTACAATACAATATCTTCTACGATTTTGTGGGTTAGACCATCCCTGATGATGCGGTCCATGTACATCGCCGTGGGTACATGGGTTATACCCCACACCCAACTGCAATTGAACCTCTAAATCGTAGGTCACTCCAATTTCTAGCCGTGAACTATGAAACCGAGTAGCCGAAACCAGACAAATCAACGGGTTTCAAAGATGGCTTTCTATTTTCTTAATATTTTTTTATTTAAAAAAACTGGTTTGATCTGTAATAGAGAGTCATAATTACTTTGTTTGATGAAATCAGATAAATGCAAAAGTAGTTCCGGGTTTCTTCTCAAAATGTTCTTGGTACCCGGTTTCATATACGATTCTGGGTTGGGATTAAAATGCACTCACTGTGGGGATGAAAATGGACCGAAACGCACGGGAAAACTCCTCTCTTGTTTCCATTTCTATATTTTTAGCGGAAACGGGATCGGGTTTAGGAAAAAAACAGAATTAAAAATGGATGGGGATATACGAAAATACGAAAACGGATAAATACGTACGGAGAGCCAGAAACATAAGTTAGAATAACATGATCAAATATTCTTGAGTATACATGAACAAAGTCACAAAATAATATACACGTACGAAGTTATCGGTCCAATATTCACTAGTATACCATGTGTTAACATGTTAACATGCATAATTTATGATTAGTAGGTTTATGAGCATATCAATTTCTAGATATATTTCACATAGATTCAAAACGAGATAAAAAACAGAATAAATACGGGTCAATTTCGGATAAAAACGGGATCCCACGGAAACAGACAGAAAAACCCCTCTCTCGTTTCCGTAAATACGTAAACAGGATCCCATAAATACAAAAACGGATGGAAGAAAGTAGAAATCGGAAAGGGATTTTTTTCCGTCCGTCTTCAACCTTACACTGTACGTACCAAAGGAGCAGAGGTGGACGCAGTTTCATGGAGGGGGCCTTGAGTTAACAGCGACGGCGAGGTGGCGGCAGATCTATCTTCCTCGCTAGAGGCATTCCGAGATCCATGATGCCCTCTAAACCTGGTTAGCGCTTCTCCCATTTCCCTCGCCCAAGATCTCAGCGCTTCTCCCATTTCCCTCGCCCAAGATCAGTGATGAAATGGAAATGGGTGAGCAGATATATCTTCCCTCAACCTAGCTAGCTTAGCTGCAAGAAAGCAAATCTTGAGGATGCTAGCTGCTTGTGAGGGACAATCTAAGGTAGAGCAACGTCCCTACAATACCACTCCGCGTCCGGCAGTTTCTTTGCAAGATCTCTGATTCGTCTGCCGCGTCCGTAAGGCACCCAAGTCAAAAAGATCTCTGATAGGCTTTCCTTTTTTACGATGACTTGGGAATTTCCGGCCGCCCACCATCGTCTGCCGCGTCCGTATGGCACCCAAGTCAAAAAGTAAGTGAAAGCAGAGCTCTGAAAAAGGCTTTCCTTTTTGACGATGACTTGGGAATTTCCGGCCTCCCACCATTGCTGACTGCCGAAGCGCGTCTCCATTGACAGATTAGCGCACAGCTTTCCCTTCCCTTCCCTCCTTTCGTCTCCCCCGTTCTTCCTCCCCACCCCCCCACCACGGCACCACCACTCCAACTTTTTCTAGTCAGCTAAAAACAACTTAGCCTGGCTCAGACCTCACCTTCAACCTCAACCTCACCGGCAATGGAAGGCGGCTTGCTAGACAGCGGCGAAGGGGAGGAGCGGGAACAGAAGCCGTCGGCAGCGGCAGCGGCGCGAGAACTCCAACTCCAAGCAAACAGATCGTACTCGCTCGGCTCGGGCGAAGGGGAGGAGCAGGTGGAGAAGAGCAGCCTGAAGCCGTCGGCAGCGGCGACATCGTACTCACTCGGCTCGGTCGGTAACTTGGCCTGCTCCATCTCATCTCCAGATCTATCCTCTTCTCTCCTCTCTTCTCTTCTCTTGTTCTCCCTTCCTCTGCTCATCCTCTGTTTCACATATTTTTGGATCATCATGATTGCAAGGACCTGCGACCCCGTACGTTTCCTGTTTAAATTTCCCCACTGTATATGGTTCCATCGGCTTCAGCTTGCTTGCTTACCCACAATACGAATCCTTTGCAAACCCATGATTTCAAGTTTAGAACCTGTTTGGTACGGCTCCAGAGGCTTCAGCTCCTACACTGTTCACCTACTGTAGCATGTTAGAACCGGAGCTGGAGGAGCCAGAAAGTCGAGCTTCACTGGCTCCGTGAACAGTAACCGCACTACAGTGAGAGAGAAAAAAAGGTGAGGATAGAAAAACAGCTCTGCTGCTACAGCGATGCTACAGTGTTCATCGCAGGGTGTCAGCCGGAGCCGGAGCTGGCGGGAGCCCGGCCAAACAAGTCCTAATTTCTTGATGAGTGCTGCTTCCAAAATGTAACACCGCGCACACACGAATTGCCTGATACAACTTCTGATGATGGAATGGAATAGTGGCACCCCTATTCTTGTTGCTCAATATGTGCCCTCTTTCCTAACTAGCCGATCTAATTCCATGCACATCTTCTCTTGTATTTGCAGGCATTTCTTGTCTTGACAATTGCTTATGCTGCCTTGGTTCTTTACGTGACCGAAACATACACTCATAGCTGGATGGAAAAGCTACAGATGTTGCCACTCTGCATCGTTGCTGTTACACCACCAATGCTTTGGGCGATCATGTTCCGAAAATTTCATGGATAGATGCAAAGTGTGTTCAGGTAAACAAAAGTTTCTTGTTTCTTTTTTTTCTTTTTTCTTTTTTTTTTTGCTAATCATACATGCCACGTCTTTCAGCTAGCTACTAGCTACTAGCACTTGTGATATGTACTACTAGAGAGAGAAATAAAGTAGTAATAGATTTGGAACCTCCAAATCAATTCTATCCAAGCATGATCCCTGATAGACGTGTCAAATGATATTACCATGAAACAAGATGTTGCATATATCATTTGTCATGTCGTGCACTATTGTTGTATATAATAATAATAATTCATTACATTGGATCCGAAGCATCACTATTTACCTTTCACTCATCGCATGAAATTTCTGCTCATTGTGTGCATTTAGGTTTTACTCGGTTCAGCTCACCTGTTGATCTAGCAGTTATATCTTTTCCACAGGAAGGGAAGGTGGCGCAAGTACGGGTAGAAAATTTACATCTATGGTTTAGTTTATGATTCGAGTTCGACTGTAATATTTTCATATAAACTATGATGTCACTTTGAGGGCATTTCTTGTCGACTGTCGACAGGCCCCCGCAGTGACTACTATATGTTTGCTATCTCTATGGTATAGATTTATATCTCGACAGTAGATTACTTTATGTTGAGTTTATTGTGATATCTCCAGATATAGTAGATTACTATATGTTTGTTAGCGTGGGATTCTTCGCCCACAGTGGGCAATGTACTCTTATGTAATCTGCCCACAAGTCTCAGCAATACAACCAATAATTCCACCAATTTTATTCCTCCTACATTAAGGACGAAAAAGGTACGCACTATATTAGCACAAGCATGATTTACTGCTACAAACACCAGGCCAGTTTTTGTTGCATTCTCGATGTGCTAATCAGTATCTATGATGTTTGTTGAATCTGTTTCCAGTGAACTGGTCAACACCTTGCAAAGGGACCAACAAACAAATGAATGAAGTATAAAAAACTGTAGGAAGCTAACTGCACTAAACAGAGGGAGACAAAACCACTGGAAACTCCTCAAGGCACCATGACACAAGAGGAACCAAGCCAACCTTTTCTTTTCTTTTTTACTGCAAAAATTGCTCAAGACACCATGGCACAAGAGGTGTCAAACCCGATTATCCAGCTGCTTGTTGCCTATTGATAACAAATAAGCCAACTCCAAAATGTACAACATCAATGCAAACACTAAAAAAATCACTGGCATGCATCTTTTAGTAGATGTAATAGAAAAGACAATATACAACAAAGGGAAGCAGAGCTTACAAAGGCAATAACACAGTGGCCTCTGAAAATGCTGCTGACATCAGATTGACTGCCGAAGTCCAATTTTGGGATCACATAGCACAACCAAAGAATAGCATTGTTTTCCCTCTAGCTTAGCCTAAAAAGAACTGTTATCAGAAGCTTTTGTCACGAAATGACCAGTTCACTCGAAACAGATTTAACAAACATCATTTTTTCTCTCTTTGGCCTAGTCCAACTGATTTTGAAAGCAGCAGATGATTAACAAATCATGTACCCGAGCAATTCATATAGGATGAAAGATGAGCATAACACAATGTACTTGTGTTTATGTGGGTGTAGATGAAGAGGAATTAATGGGGATAAGGAGGGCTTATTAAAGTTAATAACATTGCGTCTGCCAACAATACTACTACATCTCGGGCAACGATTGACCTCCAATTCTAAAGAGGTTACACAGTGCAAGCAGTTAAAACCTTTTCCCCTCTTGGTTTGGTAAGAAACGTGGTATTGACAAAATGGAAGATTAAGAATTATCATCATCAGTTGATAGCAGGAAGACTTACCATGTATTAACTTTGTAATCCAACTGAACTGATTTTCCATATGCAGCTGCACCAACAAACTTTAGAACTGTAAAACCCACACAGAAGAAAGAATGAACATTTATTTCACATGCACCTAACCAGAAGACAAGAATCTCCAACACTAAAACAGAAAATGACCAAAGTTCGTCGCAAGCAGCTTTGGCAAGTGTAAATCTTTGAGATGTAATTGACACATTCTGCATATTCCTTATTTCATGCCTGCATAATAAATCTGATCCAACCTTACTTGAGTAGGAACAATGCAGGAAGCACATATGGGAAAATATAAATCTCTACAGAAATGTCTAACTGAATATATCTCTGGAGAACAAAAGGTAATTCCTGTGAGCAGCAGTACTTAAATAAGCAGCTATATTTGGTAAAAGAACATGGACAATTTAATATAACACACATCTATGAAAAATCATTAAATGATGTGCTTCGTAGAATGCAGTAGTTACATAAGCCGTGCCATTGCAGTTTTATTCTCAACACATACGAGTGCCTTCCATGCATAAAAAACTACTAAATAAATCTGGATTTTTTTTTTAAAAAAAAAGGAACTCATCTTCATGAATCCCTATTCAAAGACAGTAGCAATCTTCAATAAAACTACAATCATGATTACACGGTCCATTACAAAGAGGCAGATCGCATCACAGTGGGCAACAATCCATTGCTAGCTGAATAAGAAAAATATCATGCCAACCAAATGGAGGAACCAATAACACTTAACACAAGATGCTGCATCTATACTAAAGGAAGCAACTCTACAATACTCGATAACACAGATAGTATGGGTACCACCTAGCCAAACAATTTCAACATCAATCTTTTTTCCAGTCCTGCACTAGTTGTTTTTTAATAATATATCCTGATCACCATCTTGACTATGCAGCAGAAGATAAAAAAGGCAGGGAGATGAGGAAAAAGAATGAGGTGGGATTTGTACAGCATACCAGATATGCCACACTTCAAAAAAAAAGAAACAAGCCCTTCCGTCTGGTCATAATAATATGCACAGACAGGAGAAGAAAGCACCATTCGATGGACACATTTAGAATAATCAGCCGGAAAACGGTGTTCCAATGACAGCAAGTACAAATCGAGGAGGCATCCAGCTCAAATAAAAAAAAGTACATTTATGCAAGTACAAATCGAGGAGCCATCCATCTCGAATAACAAAAAAAATATAGATTTATCTCTAAGCACAGAACATGAAACCAGTAGAATAACCCCTTATTCCCCAATTTTAATCCACTAACCCTGCAGCATGGCAATAGGAGTCGAAGGAGAGGGTGCATCACAAGCGCAGCATTGACGTCAAGGCCATCTGCCAAAGCCACATGACGCCACCGTGGCTGTGTTGTACCACCGCACACCATGTACCGACGCGCTGTTCTGCACTGGACCACCGCACACCACGCACCGGCACATCGCAGCCTATTGATGCTGAACCATGCAAGAAGAACATCAAAATAAAAAAGGGAAATGAAAAAAAAGAGCAATCAAGAGATCACAAAATGGTGAAATTTGGAATCAAACTATAAATTCAATTGCAAGAAGGAAAAGATATCCCGAAACAAAGCCCATGCCTACAAAATTGATCCAATAAAGTCAGAGTTCATTACCAGAAAAACAGACCCCAAATTGTAAGTAGATTAACTGTGTACAGCACCAACCGGTGAAATTTGCAATCAAACTACAAAACGACATGAGGCCATGGCCCGTGAGATTTACACATCCTTGTTAAAGCAGCTGGAAGCATATGCAGACACAAAAGGAACAGAGGAGTTTAAGACTTACTATATAATCTTTATGAAATTACATACAACTAAATTTATACTGTTGCAGGGGTAATTGGTCTGTAATTATGAAAGGGAAGTAAGGAAAGGAATAAGATCAAGAACGGAATATACAGGAGGTATACTTTTGTGAAATGTATGCAGCTATATAAACCTACCTAACCTCTCCATCAGTCAGTAGTGAATAGACATTGTGGACGGCATGAAGATATCTTTCTTGTCGAACCAGAGGCACTGAATTAAGGAAACAGGACAGAGGCGATTGTTCTACCCTAATAATATAAACAAATGAGGTTTCTATGAGATGTTGATAATGGTATGAGCGAATGCATGAATCAGAATACTCTTTTCAGAAGAAGATGGCCATAATCAGGATCGTAGCAACGAAGAGAAGAGAGAAACATTCTATATTGTGAGGACATCAAAAGCCCGCAAGATCACAAGAGGACCGAAAGTATCAATGTGCCTATCTCAACACAATATGTTGCCCATCTGTTTGCTAATCAATTTATGGTAGACAAATCATATTGCTCCGAGGGTCATGAGCAGGCAGAATAATTTTTTTTTATAAAAAAAACATGAACTACCTAGAGATTTTTAAGTTTGCATTTTTCTTGTAGAGATGATATCCTACACCAAATAAAGCATGTGCTT